GATGCAGCAACTCTCTTTGTCCACACCAATTTCACTGGGTTCGCCGTCCAAACCAACAAAGAAATGAAAGCAGAAGCTGTAACACAAAACGCTGATAGAATCTCCGAGGTGGACCGGCGTCCGAAATGGGCATGAACCAGTGCGAAACCAAGCATACATCAATATCACACATCGATTCTGGGCGGAGCCAAAGACTTCAAAGTCTGATTGAAGGCGAACTTCTTTTACTTCACTAAGGACTTCTGTGTAGTCGAACTGGACTTCTTTCCGGGTTTACGTTTGTTTTTCTTTGCGTACCTGTTTACATGAAGCCTCCCCTCTGTGGACCCTCCGGGTGGCTTGAGGCGTGGTGAGTCCACAACGGCATCTCCTGGTACAGTGCCTTGGCCAAAACCCACGGTCCGACGGGGAGAGGTTCTGCGGTTCTGCGTCGATGCCGAAAAGACAAGAGCGTTGGATCTTGTGTTGCCCCTGTTGGACAAGCGTTGCACAAGCATTTGCCGGTGGTTGGAATGGGTTGTTGGTCTTGTCGACGGATTCTTATGAGAAAAACTGACTATGTTGAAGTTCAAACACCCTTGATGGCTGCAGGTGTTGTACTGGCCACATTGCTCATGCATTCGCCCAGTAGATAGAGGTCAGCACCTACAATTGCATTTGTACCCGCAACAAGGCTTCGGGGCGTCAAGGTTCCTGAGTCGTTCCATCAGCTGCTCAACTGAGTTTGCACGACCGTCGCGTCATCCCAATGATGTAGACTGTTGATTCATCAAAAGCCTCCCATAGGGAGATGTTTGGCCACTTAGGTAAGTATAGAGGATGTTATTCATCAACAGTTCGTCTTCGCCGAAGGACCGTTCGTGTCACAGCCACACAGCCTGCACCGTGGCACCTTCAACCGTCCAGGAGTCGACCTGAGCCGACCGAAAAACCCTGAGATTCGAGGGATTTTTTCGCGCTAAACCAAAGGCCCTGTAAACCAGGGTCACAAACAGAGACTCGGGGTCACGAACGGCTCAGGTCCATCCAAGACCTTTTGGCCGATCCGCAAAGCCGAGAATGGTCGTGTCCTTTTCTTCCCCCACATGGCATCAGCATATTTTGGGATCCCTTGGTTTTGCCAGTCTGTGATGAGCTATGCCGTATGCCCCATCAGTTCATGGTCCATCTACACCTGGTACTGAGATTTCGCCAGACGCCTTCATAGGTGGACATCACCAGTCGTGGGCGAAGTCATCGAGGTTTCTCGCTGTTGCCATTCACACGTTTGGTCACAACCCCCCCCCTTGCACCGAGCGAGGAAACGCACGAGGCCAATGGCAACGTCACGCCGGATTTGATGAACTCAACCTTTTTCGCCTTCACGTTTCCCAGAATCGACACCTGAGACTCCGTTAGGGCCAGGGTTTTGGCCGATCGGTTTCCGCCCCGCGAGCTCCGCGCGCGCGTGCGCGAGCTCCGCGCGCGTGCGCGGGCTCCGCAGGCCGCAGGCGCCCACGTCGCCCACGTCGCCCACGTCGCCCAGCCGGCCAGGTGCAGGGGGTTCCGTCCGACCGGTCTGGGACTCGCCGAAGCCGTGGGGCTGGAAGCGGACTGGGTGGGTTTGCAGAGGTTGTGATGGGGGGTGTGAACTATTTTATTTGGCGACGAGGAGTCTAATACTACGAAATGGCTTCTGGGTGGCGGCTGATGTTGAAGTTCATGAAGCCGCTACATCTGTTGGGTGAGATGTGAAGCTTCCCATCCTGGTGATGTTGATCTCTACAATTGCTTGGTGCACCGAAGCTGGTCTTTCTTCACTTTGGACACCAGCCATCAGAGGAAGACCTCCGGCATCTCCACACCCTCCGCAGACGAAAGCGAGCGGTTTCGAGGGTCCATGTTAATCTGCAGGAGGGTAAAAGAGAAGGTGAAATCCGTATGTTGGAAGATCAACATGTTACCTGTTGGAAGATCAACCGGTCTTCCAAGCATCCATATAAGTATATAGATGCCATGTCAATCTTTGAGGACGACCCTGGTCAAGAAGTGAGGCAGTGAGCAAGTCGGCAAAACCATCCTACAATACACTAAATTTGTGCCACAGCTTCCTCACTATACTGTTGTGGCACAAAATCATTGCCACAACACCTCTATACTATATATTACCATATTACATATTTTTTGTATTTCACAACACAACTATAGTATTATGTACTATACATATTTATACATACCAAATACTGTAACTGACTAACTGCAATGACTCCGTGCGACCCCACTCGATGCGGGTTCCGGTGGTCGATTTCGACCCGTATCTTCGCCCTCCTCCGGTTTCGAGATGAAGGGTTTTTGAGGTGCGAACTCACTCACACGGGATGCTGAGCAGATTCAGTCGTCTTCCGGCCCACCAAGCTAAGCCTAAGCCCGGTGGTTTTGGGACCCGAATTGCCTCGTGTTGGGGCTATCAATAGACACCCCAACACATTGGGGTCCTGGTCCAACATCGAACTCACAGGAAGCAGGTCTAACTACAAAGGGATTTTTGCACCGTGAGGGGGATTCTCGCACCGCGAAGACATCCCCATGCCAAAAAGCAATTCCAATCATGGGAGAAGGGCCAAGGGTTGGCAAAAGGTCTTGGCCACTTCGGAGTCATTCCCTTGCAGCTATCTTCGGAAGACATTTAGAGAGCTAAGCATTTATGCTTCGTTCGTCGAAGAGTAGCAGATCCCTATGTATACTTAGTAGGTGTCCTTCAACTAGATTCTTAGGTGGAAGAACCTCCTGCACCACCTGGAAGAAACGCGCATCAGTACCTGGAAACTGTCCAGTTCCCTCCCCCGAAAGTATCGTTTCACACTTTTGGAGCAGGTTTTCTTGTGAGACGATTCACTTTTTTCACTTTTTCATCTCAGATAGAACGTTTCAGATGCACTGCTTGTGCCATCAACTTCAAGACACTCATCTTCCCCAAGAAAATCCGCCTAACCCGAAGTTTTTTTCGCCAAGTGGCTCTGGGTCCAAACAGGTGGCACAGTGGTCCACTGAACATGAACCGAAGAGACGACCTATCAGGTTCGGTCGACCTATACCAGGTGTGAGTCCAGGTCTGACCGGGTGCACCCTCCGTCCGTTGGGTCGAGTGCTCAGGCAACCTGGGCAGCCCGGTGGCGGCCAGGCCTGTTGTGGCTGGCACGTGGGGGAAGCCCAGGGGAGAGTGGTGGGGGGTTATGCGTCGATCGGCGCGGACCGATTGGTGGGAAGCCCCTGATATATGGAGGGGTTAGAGTGAATGACACACACACACACAAACACCTGGAAACCCAGTTCCAACAAGAAACAAGTTGTTCCAAGATGGTTTGCCTGAGATCCTTTACATAACAAGTGGTTATCTGGGGAGTTCCATCCATTGGTTTCTGGTTGGTCGTCCAGGCACATCCGAAGAGCGGCGGAAAAGGCAACTCCTGTAATGGAAAATCGATTCCTGGATTTGGGACGCCCTGGAGGTCCCAAAGACCAAGTCAAACCTGGTGCTGAACACCTCGTTCGGCCCAGGCGCCCGGCCGTGACGGCCTCGCACCGCGGCGGCGTGGGCAGCGCGAGCGCGGCGCCGGCGACCGGCTCGGCCTTCGCGCCGCCGGTGCGGCCGGTGGTGTCGGTGACGGCACCGGCGCCCGTGCAGGCGGGCAAGGGCGGGCGCGCGTTGGTGGGGTGAAAGAAATCCAAGAGAAGAGCGGGGGTGGTGCGGGTGGGGATGGATTGTTTAGAAAGAACCATTGTGAAGCACTTGTTTTGTGGTTGGGTGGGTGGCCCGGTGGGAAAAGACCCTGCAGTAGAGTAGAGATGGTCCAGTTCTTTCCTTGGAGGGTGGTTTCGTGGGATGCTGAAGAAGAATGAGTTCTGGGTTTCTGGGACTTTTGCCCAGACTGGATCAGATACACATCCTCCAAAACCCAACAGCTGCCCTCGCTGTCGCTGCATGTGGGTTTGCCTTGAAATGGAACTCCGCCACTGGTTTGATTTGTGGTGCCGCTATGAAATTTGCTGTTCCAAGTTGAACCTCGAGCTCAGCCAACGAAGACTGACATCACATGCCTTGGCAAGATGATTTTCATCAGAAATGCTCTCCATGGCTTCCTCCTTTCTGAAACAACCCCCAAACAGACACCGGTTCCAAAGTGTCCCACCACCGGTGCCCCGGTGTCCGACGGTGCCACCGTTTGGCTCAGCCGCAGGCAGCGCCCAAGGCGTCGCCCAAGCACTTGAGCCCCACCAAGCTGCAGAGCCCAGGCCGTTTGGACACGGCGCATTGGTTGCCGCGGCGAAAAGGGGTGGGAACCGCCCACGGAACCGGCAAAACCTGCCCCCCTCGCCAGGGTGCATGTTTTGCAGGTCTTGAAGCAGAAAGTGGTTGAAGTGTTTTTTTGCGAAGGCCGTGGAATCCTACCAGCATGGTGAGGTGAGGTGTTTTGGCCCAAGAACTTCTGTACCATTGAGCTGGGTCCGGCTACCGTATAGTAGGTGTCTCTTTTCGGGGGGACGCCCCCCTTCTACTTCTCTTTGCTGGGATGAACGGCACCGACGCCGCGCGGCGTCACCAGGAAGGTCGCGCACGAAGGTGGTGGGATCCGGTGGAACCACCCATGACGAATCGGCAAGGGCCATCGTGTCGGGTCTTCTGACCCAACCATCATTGACTGGGCCTTGGCCTGAGGCCGTAGGTGAATACTGATCCCATCGTCTCTGTTCTTGACAACACTTCACTCAGATGCAAAGCGGACACATCCACCGGGCCCTTCAGTGGAAGGGATGTGCAGAACTGTGCCCTTGAGTGCGTGACGGAGCTTGACATCGAAACATGTTCGTTTCTTTTTTTGATGCCTGTAAACTGACCGGTGCGTAGTAGGGAATGATGGATCAGCCATCCTCCTAGTAATCCCACCCTCAGCTGGACTGCAGTCCTTAGTAAGGACCGCTTCCGGAGCTCCCTCAGTTTTCCTGGCACCCTCGCAAATGAAGTCGTGGGCGTAAGATGAAGATATGCCTGAGAGGCTTGGTGTGATCGAGTCTGAGGGCCGAGACCGAGAGGCCCGGAGGTCGATTCAGCCACTGTGCTGCTCGCAGCGGAGCCGCAGGTGCTGCTCCGGCCGCGGCAGCTTCGCCCAGTGGTCCCCCCAAGCAGAGGCGGGCGGGAGATGGGCGAGGTGGGGAATTGGTGGGGAATTGGCGGGATCTTTGGGGGTATGGAAAGCGGAAGACGACCCTGCTGACTCTAGCATCTAAATTTGGTGATAAAACAAAAACAGACGCATGTTTTATGTCCCTCCCCAAAGCTGCCGAAGCATGACCATGACTGGACTCTGGGGACGACACTTTCGACACACTTGGATCCGAGTTGCACAAACGCCGAGTGTTGGATTTTGCATTCCTTAATGATATCATGGTGTTTTTCTCCTAAAGCATCTCGATCTGGACTTGCTATAAGTTTCCCCAAATGGTGTAAATGACATCTGAGAAATACTCTTCCAGGATTTGTTGGTGGGTGTTTTCTTGGGAGTCTTAGGATCGTTGGGACCATCCGACCTTTCGGCCGAGGGGAAGGTTGCACCACGAAGCGGCCGGCGTCGAGATGCAGCTCCGACCTGACAAAGGGGAGAGGATTGACCAGTCCTTTTGCTTGGGATCCTTTTAATCCGGTCCGAATCACCGTGAAAGTGTTGCATCCCAATCGTTGCAACTTGGTGTTGCATCCACCCATGCGCAACCCCTCCACCCACGCAGGGCGGCCACCATGACTTCCACGCTGCGCACCGGCGTGGCGGCTCAGTGGGGACGAGCATGATTTTCATGGCTGCTCAGTGGGGACGAGCTGCACAAATAGCTACACCATCTAAAGCCATAGAGACTCAGTAGACGAACACATGCGGATGTTCGGATCTTGTTGAAATGGCACCGGCAGATGTGGTGCTTTTCGACCGGTGTGAAACCACACGTCACGCTCACGCAGACGATCACGGCGTCCATTGACACGCCAAGGCGTCGAAAGAAAAGGAACACAACGGTGACGGTAGAGCAACGTCGTCAAACTTGCTGTGTTCTTTTTTCAGATCTTCTTGCCAGTACTCTTCCCTCCACCCGAGCTGGTTCAGATGACGATAACCAGTGAACAAGTTCGTATTCCAACATGGCCCTACAGATCTGAAGATACAGGAACTAGCCAGTCATGTGCCATGGTAGTTAAGTCACTTGTTCCTTCATGCCTGAATCGTTGTAAAGCGGCCTTGAGGCATGTAAGAGCCAACAGAACTGCTATTGCAAAGCTATTTAGTTGAACTTCTGAAGTATCACAAGTTGATGATCCGCGGCAGCGGGTCTATTGTTTTCAAACCCATAGAGATCAAACATCACTATGTGCGCCATCTTTCGTTCAGCACATGACTTTGGTGGGCCGTAAACGGAAAGGTGCATGAATTTAAGGTGTATGGGTTCGATGGAAGCTCTCTTTGAGACAGTTTTCAATGGGAATCTAGAACTGTTTCCCTGTTAGTTTCGACTGTTGTATCCAAACTCTAATCTATACTTAATTCTCATCGTGGAAAAAAAGACTCCCATCATTGTCCCATCATTGAATCCTGGCCCTCAGGCGACTCAATCTCCCCCGAGGCGGAGTCTGATCTGTCGTTGGGAGATTTGTCCTGGCCATATGGATCGTCAGGAACTCTGAACGATAGAACTGCAGGTTCCTAGCTGCTGGCCCTTTCATCTCAAAAGCAGGTGGATGGATTGCCCCAATTTTGGGGTAGAGACGAACCACTCAGCTCAAGACAACGAACACTTCATGACTTGAGACTGCGCCATGTTTCCAAAAGCACCCTTCGCGGGCTTCCGCATAGGGGTGTAACCCCCCATGAGCGCCCCGTGTTCCACCATGCAATGCCCCGTGAAAACTTTACCAGGCTCCGAGGTCAAACGCAGGAATGACCCAGCTCATCGGTCCGGGTTTGGACGAATCCAATGCCTTTTGGAACCGATGGTTCCAAATCCAATCTACCAATCAACTAAAACGATCCCATGGACCCAAATTCGTCGTGGTCGTTGCTGGCACCCACAGTCCGTTCCGACGGTGGTCCTCAAGTCGTCCGACGGTGTTCAGTGGGGTCCATCAGGGTCGGATCGTGAAAACCCCAACTCGGGCCATGTGGACTCAGTGTAACCTGGCTGTGCTGCAGGAGGGTCACGAATGAGTCGGGCTCAGACGTCTGTTTCTTTGTTGGCTTCTTCTGGAAAGCATCTGGAGGTTATGAATTGATGCAGCCTCATACAAGGTTGAAGCCTTCAACAAGAAGACCCATTTTGCCAGCAAATTCTGTTTCACACTTGCAAGCAAAGCGGGACATGCCAGGGCCGCCAGATTGCCAAACACCATCGTTCCCTTCCACTTCATTTACTTCATCTACCTACCCGACTGACCCGTCCAAAGGCAGGTTCTCAAGCAGCACTCCTCTCTTTGTCCCACGCTTCTCAACCAGGGTTCTCTTCATACAGTCCCAGAGACGTGTCTCGCGGTTCTGGTCGCCTCCCATTTGGGAGGGTCCCCCCCCCCCCTGGTCGCCTTCGGGCCGCGCCAGGGCGAGGACAAACCCAAAGACTCAGGCGGTGCCGCCACCTTTCCGTCCACGGTCGTGGGGGTGTGGGTGCTCATCGGGGTATGCTCATCCACTGGGCAGATGACTCTTGTTGCTCTGCCTCCGCCGAGCACAGTGAATTGCGGCGAAGAACACAAGGAAAGAGCTATGGGGCGACTCTTGAATCTATGGTCAACCACAGCAAGCTTGAAGAGCTTTCACAATCCATGTCCGGGGGGGTTGTTTATCAAGAGTCTACAGTCTACATTACATGGGAACTTTCAATACGACCCTCGCAAGCTTGAGGCCTGAGACCTGGCGGTCGGATGACATCCAAGAGGAGTTTACACGAGTAGAAGTGGGTCGAGTTTTTGTGTCGGGTGCACGTTTGTTTAGAAGCCATTATGGCGTGAACCAATGATTGATTTACAGAGATTTTTTATCCCACAGCCACAGCCAAAAATGACCCTGATTTGGTGGTGGGCTAACAGGCACAAGTCGTTTCTTGCGGACGATTTCTTGTTTTCTTGGTTTCGATATGGGACCGAAACCACCGAAACTGGCTGAGGATTCGGTAATTTTCCTTTGAGCGCTTGTGGAGGCAGAGATGTTCAAACTTATTCAGCAGCCAAGCTGAAGATGAAACCAAGTTATCCTGTCATGGGATGGATTGCCAGATGGACCAGCGCTCCACTCCTTGGCCTCCGGACACCCCATTTGGACGTTTTCGCCTCGCTCGGAGGCGAATGCACCAAATCACTGGAACTGGGTCACCCTGGGTCACCCTGGAGGGGGAGGTTTTGAGAGAAATTTCCGGATCAAGGAGCTGCTGCGTTCTCATTTCGGTCGCTCTTGGCATACTTTTGAGCTTGGGCTGCGCTTTATCCATGGATATACCCTGGTATGCGAGCCTCGCACAACGGGACAGAACTGGTTGGCAAGATGGGTGGATGGACACCCATGTTCACAGCTTCCAGATGCAGTCCTGACATCATTTCGACTTGGCCCCATGACTCTGGGTGTACGACCAACGAACGACCAGCGCGCTGTAACCTGCATCTGGCCAGGGCGCAGCAATCAGCTGCTTCCCACCATGAGTCTTCGTCCACACTCAACGCCCCAAGGCCTCAGTCGTCGCGAGTTCGCGTGTCGTCCACACGTCTACGCGCGCCAATACGTAGTTGGTGTCTTAGGCTACAACCGACGGATGGCGATATGATGATGAATTCGTCTGGATGGAAAAGAGACCCCAAACAAGAATCGGTCTAATGCAAACTGGTTGATACTGCTTGGTCTGGTTCCTTTTCGCATTTCAGGCCCACCTGAAAGCTTTCAATGATGATTTCTTGCAACGCACGAAAGCTCCAAGGGCCCACCCCGTCCGAAAGCCGTGGCCAACCCCCCACCTTCCTCCGAGAAGCCTGTCGGGATGCTCAGCAGGATCCAAGACATCCGGAGGCCGACTTTACTAAGTGGAGCGCCTTTTCTTCGAATAGATTTAATGTTTTTCTTCCTGGTGCTACACAAAGATCATTCAACATCGATTTGTTTGGGGGTCACTATAGTACCGCCTGAGAATAGTGAACATATCCCATTGTTATGTGTCGAAACGATTCGGGGGTCATTGCTGTTTGTTTTTCCAACTCGTACAGTATCCCAGCCAGCCAGCTGGTTTGGTCATTCCCCCTTGATACAAGGATCGACCTTCGTTTCCTTTGCTCCGTCAAGAACGGAACAAAAGAGGTCTCCCCCTGACTCCTGTCAACCCGATCAGAACCATTCTCCACCGCTATGCCGAGTCCGCTGCCGGATATGTCACCGGTTCGTTCTGCCGCCCTCGCGAGGCTCTAGGCGGCTTCAGACCCGGCGGAAGATAGGCCGGTAGTGGACCCAGTCACCACTTGAGCACCACAATCCTGAGCACTCTGTTTGTCGACCCCCCCATATGGAGATGCAAAACCATTACGTTTGTTTCTTTTAACTGTGGTTGTGGGCTAATAGGCACAAGTCGTTTCTGTGCTAGATGAAGATGCTAGTGCGATTCCAGGATCACTTTTCTGGAACATGGACATCGCACAATCCATCAAATTGTTTGCCTAATCCCTCTTAAAAGCGGGTAATTTAGGACCACGCTTGCTTTGAATGACTTCCTATGACTTCCTGAGAGTCCAAATCCACTATTTTTGTTGTGATTTTTACCCTTCGTCCACACGGTTCGCCACACCGCTGAAATCGCCGGAAAGCGCTGGACTGATCCGCCAGAGCGATTTACTGGACGGAACGGTGCCGGTCAGCAGACTTTGTTCAATGGCACATGGCACCGTCATGGCACTGTCACTGTCCCTGTTTTTGAACGAAAGGTTTTCCACTAAGAAGAGTTCACGTACCAGGACCCTCCAAGGGGTGCCCTGGCTGGAAGCCCCCACACCGCCAAGGGACCTCCAGCCGCCAGGACACCCCGAAAGAAGGTCCAGGTATGTTCATGTCATGTCGAGGACTCTCCCTCATCAAGCCGATGTCACCGACGTGTTGGGAACGAGACCTCGAGTTCCACCCGTCGTGTCGTCCCTCGATTTCGGGGTCAAAGGCTCGGTGCTGGGGCGGTTGACACCGGAGGCGGTTCGGTGTGTTTACACCGAAGGGCCGTGGTCCGGCAGCGCTGTGGGGTGTGGTCGTTGGAAAGGAGCGACTGTTGGCGCTGTGGGTTCCCTCCGAAACCAACGCTCCGAACGGTGCGAACCCGCCGCGATCCTCTGCGCCGGTCACGTCTCGGCGGTTCCGGTCTTGCCGGAGGCAACAAGACTCCAGAGGTGGAGAAGTTCTTAGTGGAGTCCTTGTGACTCGGTGTTTTCCGGGATGTTTTCTCAGGGTTGCTGTTCGTCAATCATGCGATGTACGACACAGCTTGTCCTTTTCCTTTTTTTCTTCTTCTTCTTCTTCTTCTTCTTCAATCATGTTTCTCTTGATAGGATTGCAATTTTGTCTTCTGGACCTCATCCGCGGGACTTACCTTTTTGGAAGAAACCTAGGCATTCGGAGAGGCAAAGGTTCCGAGACCCACCCTCAACATCAGCAGGTTGGCTGATCTCTCGACCTGAGGGTTGTGGCAATTCACGTCAGTGGCTGACAGACCATGCACCCAACAAAACTGCCATGAGGGAGTGTGTCTTTTCACGCAAAAATGCTGAAAACAGTGCTTGAGTCGAACTCGTGTCTTATCTTGGCTTTTCGTTTCACACACCCCGCAGAAACAAGGACAGTGGGGTTGGGCGAGCCAAGTCGACGGCCAAGGCGAAGAGATCCTGGCAGTGGCCAAGCCCAGTTGAACGAAGCAGATTTGCAGCAGCTGCTTGGCAGCGGCGTGATGATCGACGGCTTTTTTTTAAAAGAATCAGAGAGGCAGAAGGGAGATGGGAGCTTTACGTTTCTGTGATATAGAGATAGATCGAGTCATATACTTGTATATACATATATTATATTGGGTTAATAGATAGATAGGTAGGTAGGTTAATAGATAGGTAGGTAGGTAGGTAG